TATCTATCTATCTATCTATCTATCTATCTATCTATCTATCTATCTATTGTATGGCTCCATCCATTTGATCTAGTATTGTGTATTGAAAAAAAATCATTGTTGCTTTTTTTTTCCTCCCTTTGTTCCTCTGCCAGAGATCACTTGACTCTTATTTTTAAGGGTCTGTTCTTGAACTCTGTTGTGTTTTATTAGCACGTTTGTCTTTTCTTTTACCAGTGTTTTTTGATCTTGATAAATGCAGTTTTGTAAGTCTGGAACTTAAGTAGTGTCATTCTTTAACTTTTGTTTTTCTTCTTTAATATAGTAATGTGTTCACTGATGTTTTTAATTTTTTTTCTTATTTTTAATTGTTTTGCTGTCCTAATAATCTTTAGAGTCAGCATCTGCAATATAACTTGTTTTGATTTTGATCAAGATTGCTCCGAAGATGTTTTAAAGAACTCTCTTTAAAAGATATATTTATTTTACTTTATGTGTTTGGGTATTTTGTCTGCATTGCCCATGGAGACCAGAAGAAGGTGTCAGTACGGGTGCTGGGCTGGATTCATTATATGTTTGATTTTAAGTTTTGGTTGTTGTACATTCATAAGTTTTTTAGGACTCCACATTCAGTTATGTGATCCTATGTGAGATCATGACATGGTTGAAGAAGGTGGGACCTTTTCTAGGTTCATTTATCACATTTAATTGTCATATCTTTTGGTCTGTTCTCCTATGTAATAGTGCCTCTATATTCCTGATAGTAGATTTGTAAAGAGATAGCTAGTTTTTTAGTAGAATTCCCATTGGCCTGTGCTTGTCAGATAATTATTGGATTGGATTTAGGGTATAATTTTTTTCCTCCCTCCCTCCTTCCCTCCCTCCCTCCCTCCTTCCCTCCTTCCCTCCTTCCCTCCTTCTCTCCTTCTCCCCTCCCTCCCTTCCTCCTTCCTCCCTTCCTTCCTTCCTTCCTGGTAGGAATACTGTAAAGTTTTGTGTTCTTTTAGTTCTGTCCTACTAGAATGGATTTGGTTCCATTTATCTCATTGGTCACATTGATTTATTTTTTTGGTAAGATTATATCTTAAGTTTTTTTTGTTTTTTTTAAACTATAAAGTCAAGTTCCTCCTTTGTCATTTTTAAGAGATATGTGGGGGTTAATTTGAGGTTGCATTGTTTCAGTCAGTTTCAGCTGTTTCTGACTGTTACTATAAAAGGGTGGTATTTTTTCCTAATTCAGTCAGTTCTATAATTATTAGGTGATATTCTAATCTGTAAAATCTTTCTCTTGTTGGAGAATTAAATAAAGGAATTTAGAGGATGAAGTGCTCTAATTTATTATTCTTTTCTTAAAAAGGAGTCTGTCCTTTGTAATGAATACATTGAAGGATATAAAAGTAAAAGCCGGAGCCAGGCATGGTGGTGCACGCCTTTAATCCCAGCATTTGGGAGGCAGAGACAGACAGATTTCTGAGTTTGAGGCCAGCCTGGTCTACAGAGTGAGTTCCAGGACAGCCAGGGCAAACAGACACTCTGTCTTGAAAAACTAAAACAAAACAAGACAAAGCCCAAAAGTTTTACATTTATATATTTATTATTATTATTTGTAGGTGTGTATGCATGCACATGCCACTGCACACATGGAGATGAGAAGATAAGACTCATTTTACCACGTAGGTTCCAAGGTTTGAATTCCAGTCATTAGGTTTGGTGGCAAATACCCCTCCCTACCCACTGAGCAACTCTGCTGGCTCCTGGTTCTGGATTTTTTTCCCCCCTAACCTGCAAAATGGAGATGGTAATACCTATTCATAGAATGTGTGAGGATTAGATGAAGAAATGGATAGATTATTCCAGAAATGAGTTTTGTAGTGTCTAGTGAAGTTTCTTTTCATCCTTTCTATTGACACTGATGTTAGATTTCATTTTTTTTGTAGATAATAAATTTCCAATTAAATTAAAACTAAATAAAAGCTTGGTGTTATTGATAGTTTACTTATAAGTCATTTGATAGCTTTATATAGAGACAAAGTTAAGGATACATGTGAGTACTTACATAATGAGAGGAAACACATTTCCTATAACTCTTTTTTTTTTACTGATGAAATAAGCTTATAATAATATTTGAACACAGATTTTAAATACAGGCCTGCTAATGAGAAGGAAAAGAATTCTTTCTTGAGGGGTAACATTCTGCTTAGTCGGGTTCACAGTTAGTGTTTGTATCATCAGATTAATTGCAGGGTTTTCAACTGTACAACCGATTCTTAGTTCCTGGGCTAAATAAAAATAGGGGCAGGCTAGATTTGGCATTCATAACATACTTTTAAACCCAGATAATAAAAGTTATTTTTCTCAGTTAGAAAAACGAATTTCCAGTTTTTATTTTTACATGCAAAGTTTGTGTTTCTTTTGAAATACTACTAATATGCAAACTGTATAATTGTTTTTCTATGGTATTTAAAACTGTTCAGACTTTTTTTAGTCAAACAATATTTTCTGTTGTCCTTCCCTACTTTTTTCCAGTGGTAGTTCCTTTAGCAATAGCACATAAGCATGCAAGTATGATTCTTCCTTTATTCGCAGGTGAACTTAAAATTGTGATTTTACTTTTTGTTTTTATTTCTAGATCAGCCAGCATTACTAATCTGTTACTGGATCGGCCTGGCTCTCCTATGGCTCCTTCGCATGAGACATCTGTCAGTCCCCGGGCTAACCGGACCTGTGTTAGGACAGAGACTACTGAGGATGAACGCAAAATTCTTCTGGTACCAGTCCAGCATCTAACCTGGTGGTAGTTTTGAGTGTAAAGAATGCTGACTCTCTTCCCTCAAAGAAACATATACATAAGAGAGTCAGCTGGGCTTGGTATGCATTCCTGTAAAATACATTCCAAGAACAAGTTGAAGAAACTGCTGTCACAAAACTCTTCTCATGTTGGAGTTTTCTCAGAAATACTCTGAATTCTCACATGACTCCATTTTTTAAAAAAAGATTTATTTATTTATTATTTATACAGCATTCTGCCTGCATGTATGCCTACAGGCCAGAAGAGGACACTAGATCTCACTATAGATGGTTGTGAGCCACCATGTGGTTACTGGGAATTGAACTTAGGATGTTTGGAAGAACAGAGAGTACTCTCAATCTCTGAGCCATCTCTCCAGCTCCATGACTTTATTTTTGGACTGTGTTCTAACATCTACCCATACAAGTTTAGGTTTGAGTTTATAACTGAGGAACATTGTTGTAGGTTTTCTGGAGTAGGAAGTTATTCAACTAAGCCTTTTTTTTTTTTCTTTTTTTCTTTTTGAGTTTTCAAGACAAGGTTTCTCTGTCTGTAGCCGTGGCTGTCCTGGACTCACTTTGTAGACCAGGTTGGCCCTGAACTTGCAGAGATCCTCCCAGAGTATTGGGATTACAGGCATGTGCCATCATGCCCAGGTGACAAAGACCTTTTTTTTTTTAGAAACATTTACGTGACAGTTATGAATAGGGAGGATGCCTAGAATCTGGAGTGTAGGCAGTTGTAATTTATCTTAGATTAGTGTAATTGTTATCTTTGTCTACCTTGACTTGTCCCCAAAGAAGAATATAGGTTGCACTTAACTAAGAAACCAATAGTATGTGCCATTGACTAAAAAAAAAAAAAAAAGAAAGAAAGAAAAAGGAGCATTTGGGATATATTGTTTTGAAGAGAAAAAAAAATATGCTTAGAGTTAGTGAGTCAAATTCAAGCTGTTTCATGTATGTGCCATTTATATTTAACTTATCACAGTTAGCTACTGTGAAGAAATCCAAACAGGTTCCTTTAAGATCTCAGAACCATAGGAAATTGTCTGACAAGTATGCAGTATCCCTCTCGGTGGTTAATAGTTGCTTTTGATGTGATTGCAGGACAGTGTTCAGTTAAAGGATCTGTGGAAGAAAATCTGCCATCACACCAGTGGGATGGAATTTCAGGATCACCGTTATTGGTTGAGAACACATCCCAACTGCATTGTAGGAAAGGAATTAGTCAACTGGCTCATCAGAAACGGACACATTGCTACGAGGTATTTTAATTTTTAAATGTTTTAAAATTATTCATTAGTTTATGTTTATTGATATTAGTATGTATATTTGAATATGTAAGGGTAACATATTTGTGAGTTAAGGTGCTGTTTTAGTGATTTGATGGTTTGGGGGAACTAAACTAGCTCATTATTTTCATCTGGTGAGAATATTTGTTTGCAAAGAACCTGATTGAGAAAGGTGTCATCACCGTGTATTGTCCCTGAGGTGAGGTGAGCGGTGCAATCAAAGTGGCTCCCTCCCAAGAGCTGACAGAGCCCCTCCTTTCCTACCCAGGCTGTGCCACCATCATAGGAGCAGTCAAAATGGTGGCTCCTGGCGGAGCCTCACTGCCACCTCAGCATAGTGTCCATGGTGATGACACCTTTCCTGCCTCAGCCTACTGCCTTCATGGGAGCTGTTCACAGTGGCAACACTTCCTCTGCAGTCTCTGTCAGTTATTCATGCTATAGGAAAAGGCTTCCCCGCTGTAAACATTATATACTTAGTAAACTTTGTAAATCCTCAAGACAAAAGTGTCCAGGACCCTGCCTGAGGAGCTTCAACACCCCCCACCCACCCCCGGCCCCATGCAGTCATAACATCATTTTCAGTCTCTGTAGCTGTCACAAAAGTCATCTCCAGCCCCTCAATAGGATGAATCCAAGATTATGGTAATTTTAGGTGAAACATCTGATAAGCACTCACTAATCTCTGAGCAGGAGAACCCATCAATTCCTGAACAGGAAAGCCTACCAATCCCTGAGCTCACAAGCTCAGGGCTTGAATTCCCACCAGTCCCCATTCTGGAAAGCCTTTCCCTATTAAGCTCCACCCCCTAAGAAATCCTATATAAAGGCTGTGCCTGACCAGTTCCCTGCTGCTTTCTCTTGGAAACAGAGGCAGCCATTTCTGGATTCATCCCTCCAATAAAGCTCTTAATTTGAAGAGGTATTCCACTTGGTGTGACTCTTATTGGAAGAAGCCAAGAAGCAATGAAGAGAAGAAGTGGAGCAAGGCTGAGCCTCCTGAGCTCCTCAGCTCATCTGGGACTACCCTTCCCTGGAAGCTGCAATGCCTCTGCTGAGGAGGCTTCTCAGAGCTCTGTGGTTCCCGGGTTCCTTTGTCTCAGGATGCTCTTCCATTGGGATACCTTCTCCCCTCAGAACTATGTGCTTCCTGGGCTTCCAAGTCCTAGGATATCCTTCCATCTGAGCAGGAAGGACAACACCAGGCTGAGGCAGGAAAGGTGTCACCATGGACAGCTCACACTGAGGGGTTATCACCATGCTGACAGGAGCTGCCATTTTTACTGCTCCTGTGGTGGTAGTGCAGGCTGGGGAATGGGGTGTTGTTGTTATTATTGGTACTCAAATGAAAGGGTGTCCAGGAAGCTCACAACTCTGAGGGCTGGGAAGATATCCCAGCTCTGAGGTGGAACAAGTGGCATCCTGGGACAGGGGAGCCCAGGAGCCACACAGCTCTGAGAAGAGGCTTTCTTAGCAGAGATGTTGCAGCTCCCAGGGCAGGGGTATCCCAACCCCTGATTAGCTGAGGAACTTAGGGAGTCTTAAACCCAGCTTCTTCTTTGCTTCTTTCTTCCTTTTTTTTTGCTTCTTCCAATGAGTCACAGCAGGCAATAAATCTTGGAAGGACGAAACTAGGAGAGGAGGGACAAATCCAGGAGTGGCTTCCTCTGCTTCCAGGAGAAGGCAGCAGGGAACTGCACAGACGCAGCATTTACATAGGAGTTTTTAGGGGTGTGTGTGTGTGTGTGTGTGTGTGTGTGTGTGTGTGTGTGTGTGTGTTTGTGTGTGTGTGTTTATAGAGCTTTCTAGGGCAGGGATTTCCAGAGTGAGGATTGGTGGGATTTCAAGTCCTGAGCTTGAGGAGCTCGGATTGGTGGGTTTTCCTAGTTAGCGATTGGTCGGTTCTCCTGCTCAGGGATTGGTAGGTTTTTGTCCAGACTTTTTACCAAAAATTAGAGTAATCTGGGATGAGTCCTACTGAGGAGCTAGAGATGACAGTTACGGAGGTCTGGGGGAGGAGCTGGGCTGCTGGAGCTTCCTCAGACAGGGGTCTGGCCACTTTTCTGCCTAGAGAACTTACAAAGTTTATAAGGTTTATAAAACATACAAAGAATTCATGGCATGGAAGCCTTTCCCTGCACAGAGACTGAAGAGGAGTTGCTATTGTCGGTAGCTCCCATGAAGGTAGTGGGCTGCAGCAGGAAAGGATGTTCTTATTATGGACAGCTCCCATGGCAGCAGTAGCATTCTGAGGCAGGAAAGGTGTTGGCTCCCAAAGCAGTAGTCTGAGGCAGCGAAAGTCATCAGGGCAGCTTCTGATGAGGTGATGACAGGAGCCACCATTTTGTCTCCTGTTTCTATAGCCCCACGGTGGGAAGGAGGGACTGACATCCCTGAGGTGGGAATGAGGCTTGAAGTTTTAGTGGCCCTCTGCTCAAAAGCCAAACTGTGCTCTTGGGGTGGAGGGTATTGGCACAGCCAGTTGGGGGATGATAGTGGGCTACCACAGCTTGGGGGGAGGCAGCAGGCCACCACCACTTGGGTTGGGGTCAGCAGGATGGCTTGGGTGGTCTCTGTGGCTTGAGGTCCTCTATGTCTGCCATGGCCTGGGTGCCTAGCCTGGTTTAGGGAGCTAGCTCAGCTTTCTTCACTGTGGCGATGGAGGAAAGTGACAGCTCTGGGTACGCCTCTTAAAGCTTTTGTGGTGCGCTGCTCAGGGACTACAATCTGTCTTTCATCTACTCCTTCTTCTCTGTGAGCACCCATGTACACACAAACACACATAATGAAACATGCTGAAACATGCAGTAATTCTTCAAATGGATCTCTAGAAAAGCTGGATGGGAAAATGTAGCTAGAGTCTAAGGTCAAAGGATATTCTTGCCACTATTCTCTGATCTAGACACTAATCCGTATAGAGAATTAAGTCCATAACCCATGTCTGGAGGGACCTAGTCTGTCTCACAGATCACACATATATAAAACAAATCACAGACAAAATCTATTGTTTTTATGTTAGCTGCTTCTCTGTTGTGGTGATGTGCTATGTCCAAGGAAACTTACAGAAGAATTTATTTTGGCATAAGGTTACAGAGGGTTAGAGTACATATGATGGGTGTCTTATTTAGGGTTTCTATTGCTATGATAAAACACAATACATATATATATATATAATAACAGTTAATTAAAAAAGGGAGGCCGTGAATTTGAAAGAGAACAAGAAGGGGTATATGGGAGGGCTTAGAGGAGGACAGGGAAGGAATAAATGATTTAATTATATTATAATCTCAAAATATGAGATAAATGAAAACAAAACACAACACCATGACCAAAAGCAACTAGGTTAGGAAAGGGTTTCTTTTGGCTTGCAACTCTCATGTCACTCTCCATCACTGAGGAAAGTCAGTGCAGGAACACCAGCAAGAATGTGGAGGCTGGAACAGAAGCAGAAGCCTTGGAGGACTGCTGCTTACTGGCTTGCCCCCTAAGGCTTTCTCAGCCTGCTTTGTTACCCACCTGCTACCATTAGTCAAGGGGTAGGACCACCTGTAGTGTGCTGGGTCTTCCCATGTCAGTCATTAATCAAGATTAATTATTGAATTAATCTTGCTCCAGAGGCTTACCCACAGGCATTTTTCTAATTAAGGGTCTCTCTTCCCAAATGACTAGCTGTGTCAGGTTGACAAAACAAACAAACCAACCCTTAACAGGAAAGCAGCAGTGATAGCATGCCAACAGGCAGCAGGCATGGTGACAGGAACAGGATGCTCAGAGTGTACATCTTGAACCACAGGTTTCACTCTGTAAGTTAGCATCCATTACCATTCTTCCTCCAGCAAAGCTTCATTTCTTAACCCTTCCCAAGCACCACCACTAACTGGGAACCAAGTGTTCAAATGTGTGAGCATTTAAACATAAGGGAACATCCTCATTCAAACCACTACACCTTTCAAGCTAAGCTATTTCTTAGTTTCTGAAATTTGGTCAGATGAGCCTCCTCTCATGAGAAGGAACACGTATCTAAATAAGTGAAGAACTAAATAGCTGTTAACAACAGGAAACCTCTGAGTCCTGATTTAGCTGTATCTCTTTTTAGTTTTGTGTCTTTAGTCAAATTATTCAGTCTCTTTGATTCTTGGACCCTTTAGTTCCAGTGTACTGTAAATAAGCTGTAAATATTGAACAAAATAATGTTGGCTAAGTCCTTTATTAGTTTGTGAAATATCCCATACTATAATGTATCTATTTCATTCACCTCTTTTGTGTCCCTGTAACATTTGTGTTGTCTTTTTAATTGAGATTGTAGGAACCATGCCGTTCTCAGCCGTTTTTACTTTGTTAAGAATGAGTGTGAATGCATTGTGTTCTCCATGCATGTTTACTGAAATTGAAATTAGCTTGTTTTAAAAAGGGCTACCTAAAGGGCTGCCTTAACAGTAAGTTCTTCTTTGCTATGGTCCTAGAAGAGTTTAATTTGTTTCAAGTATTTCTTTTTTTTATTGCTTATCTAAAGAACATTTGACAGTTCCTTTTTGATTAGAAATGAAAAAAAAAAAAAAAGAGTTGTTTTTATCGTGTGCCTACACAATTACTCTGCATAACCTTTTGAAATTTAAATTTTCCTGGTCTTGATTTAGGGCACAAGCTATAGCAATTGGACAAGCAATGGTTGATGGACGTTGGTTGGATTGTGTCAGTCATCATGACCAACTTTTCAGGGACGAGTATGCACTGTATAGACCACTGCAGGTAATTTTGTAGTGATACTGATGATGAGAATTGTAGTAGCTGATTTTGAATTTGTGTAGTAATAAAAAGTAGTTGAATCACCTAAAGAATCTGTTTGTAATACTTAATGAGATTCAGAGCTAGCCAAGTACTCCCCCATCGAGTACCTGCTTTTAGGGTCTAATACTGTTAGTTTGGTGTGGCTTTGCTTAAACTTGGGTTTCTGGTGCTTAGTTACTTGTCACTTAATTTTAATGCTTTTCAGTTTTATTCTCTGTATTTTTAGAACTAAGAGGGAATAAAGAGTATATAATAAAATGATTGCAAAATATGACATTAGTTATTGAGATAAGTTTTGACCCTTGGTATACAAATGGTATACTAATGACCAAATGTTTAAATTTCTTTTTTTCTTTATTTTATGAGAATAGAAATTATTTATAGGTAAATTTCAAAAATAAGATATAATTCTTTAATTTTTGGCTTATGTAAAAGAATACATATATACACACACACACACACACACACACACTTATGAACATACATATACACACACATACACAGAAACACAAAACATGTTTACATGATGAGACTCTAAGATGGTTGAGGACTAAGATTTGTAAACTGAAACTGCATGCTCCATAATTAGAAACGACAAATAACCCCATAGAGTGGTATGGTATTACCTGTTAAAATTGAATTATTTTTCTGGGGGTTCTAGAGTTGCAAGGGTTAGACTACATTTTATACTATCTTCACCCAGAACTAAAAGATGAAGTAAAGTCCTGCCAAACACATATCAGAGAAATATTTATTCCTAAAATGCTACATAAGCTTCGTAGTTAGTGAGAATTATAATTTTAAGAGTATGGTTATCAGTCAGATATTGCTCTGCACCTCTTTTTATTATTTGGCTGCTTCTATGTAAATTAATTGAGTTGTTAAAGATAAAAACATAGGCCACAGCTTCTTTATTGTGTGGTAGTGTCACTGAGAGCCAATTGCTTGGTTTGCTTTGGTCCTTTCAGAGCACGGAATTTTCTGAAACACCCTCTCCAGATAGTGACTCGGTGAACTCTGTGGAAGGACACTCTGAGCCGTCTTGGTTTAAAGACATAAAATTTGATGATAGTGACACAGAGCAGATTGCTGAAGAAGGTGATGATAATTTAGCTAGTAAGTTTGACTTTCTAATTTTTTCATTTTTATGGCTTATTGCTATGTTGGTATTATAAAATACTTGTATTGTTTATGATTTATGGTTCCCATTTGATGAAAACATCTCATAGTAGTGATCCTTGTCCTAGATACAGTATATTCTTAAGAAACCAGCTTGTTAGTCAGCTGACATTTCTGGATGTTGCATTAGTTTTTAGTTTCCAGCAGCTTAAAAATAACTCTTCAGCTAATATTGCAGCAGGCAGCTTTCTTATCTCTTTACTGTGGTATCAGACTTTCTCTGTGCAGAACCTCCAATATAGTTCCTCATTTAAAATTTCATTTAAAATTTAACCTGCTTAAATTTTATTGTCTACCCAGAAGTACATGAAAATATTGTATCCATTTTGGTATTGCACATTGGGCTTGTATATTAAAAAATTTTTTTCCTTTCCTCCAATGCCCTGATAAAACCCCTTTTTACTCCCCTCTCCCTATATTTCTTTCCCCTTCCCAACACTTAAAAGATTCTGCCAGTCCTAGCAAGCGCACCTCAGTCAGCAGTTTCCAGTCCACAGTGGACAGTGACTCAGCCGCTTCCATCAGCCTGAACGTGGAGCTGGACAACGTGAACTTCCATATCAAGAAGCCCTCCAAGTACCCACATGTGCCCCCTCACCCTGCTGACCAAAAAGGTAGGAGGTAGTCACCAACTGGATTCCAAACAGGCTGAATTGCTGGGCCCTAGTGTCCCATTATAGCCTGTCTTCTGGCTTCCTCTGACCCTAAGGCTGAGGGATTTGGAGTTGGTTTTGTTCCACCCTTTATCACCGCCCTCCTCCCCCAGACTCCAGACTCCTCTCCACACCTTTTTTGGTTGATTCTTTTTATTTCTTATTTTCTCCCTTCACACTACCATGCCCAGTTTAAAGTGTATAGTCTTTAAAAAGAACTATATCTGACTGCTCTTCCCATAATGTGCAACTTCCAAGGTGGCAATTCTTTGCATATGTAACATGGACGTTCTGCTCTATTCTTTTGTCTTTTCTTTGTTTAACATCACAAAGATTCCTTTGCCTGTGCTATTCTGCAGCAATGGTTTATTTAACACTGCTTAGATGCTTGAACTTAGGTTGGGGAAAATTTTTCCTTTTTGTACATTACATTTATTTTAAAATTTTCTTTTTTAGTAAAAAAGGAATTATTTTGTAATTTTAGTTGTCTTATTTGATGCTTTAGTTTGTGAATTCAAAAGTGCTAATAGTCCTATTAAAAAAACTCAAAAAAGATGATGTGAAAGGAAAGATAGAGCAAACCATTTCTGACAAGTAACATGATGGCATGGATGGATTGCTCCTTTTTAAAAGTGGAGGGTGAGCTATGTATTACTAGATGCAATTAGAAGCTAATTTAAAGTCTCATCCCAGTGTACCACTTTTTAAAAGAAAATAAAATCAGTAATCAGTTACGGGAGTTCATTATAATAATAACCACAACGTCTTTATTATAGATAAAGCGCTTAATTTTATGGTTTTACCCAGAGTTTGAATTCTAAACTTTTAACTCTCTAAAACTAATTGCTTCTGAAATGCTTGCCTAATTCTTTGCTACTCTTTACTTTAAACCTAAAAATAATATAAAGGATATTTAGAGTTTAGAGGTTTATTTTATAACTTGGAACATTTACATTGCCTCAATAAATTTCTCATAATTTTTTAATAGAAATTATTATGAAGATGTGATAAAATATCAATCAAGGTAATTGTGATAATAAAAAGTGCTCCTTATTTAAAAAATAAGGTATTGAGAGACAGTGAAAAAAGGAGATTTGACTGCCAGTGAATAGAAAATCCACATGATGATGGGATCTTCAGTGTAGAAGTTTGAAACATGATGGGGAACATCTGGATGAGTGTGAAGGGCCGTGAGGCAGATCTGACCCTGTGGGGATCCACTGTACACTGCAGTTCCGTGAGATTAGGCTTTTACCGAGATTGTAGGTCAGCAGTAGCGTGTGTCGCGGCAGGACAGCTGCCTCTGAGCACAAGGCCATGGTAGCAGTTCCACTGTGCTGGGCGCAGAGTGTGCAGCGCACTTGCTCTTTGCTGATGAGTTTATCTCTTGGGGTGTTAGGGATTTTGTGAACATTTTTGGAAAAGGTAATGTTTCATCATAGACTTCATACTGGCAAAGGATGGACTGCTGAGCTGGCCACATTTACTGTGGGAAATCTAGCTCAGAATGTCATTGAGAAAGAGAACTGGCAGCCTCAAATGTGACATTTTTTACAGCCAACCTCAGTGTAACTTCCTGGAAAATAAAAGGAGAAGTGCCTGCATTTGAAAAGCATATTCATTTTGGAAACTCTGGCTTTAAATCTTTAAAAATAAATTGTGCAAGTTGTGAGCAGCAACTGTCATGTGATGATAAATCTAAAAGAAGGACACATACTCATTAAGAAAAATGACAGGATCGCAAAAATCCACATTGTACTGAAGGTTGGAAGAAAGGTCAAGGATACCTGAGAACAGAGTCCAGTTGTCACTGACAGAAAAAATAAATCAGCCAAATTATCAGAGAAGTAGAGTTATTTCTCTGTCAAAATTAATCATATCAGGAAAGATACATAGATAAGGGGGGGAAGTGAAGTCCAAGAGAATAACGAAACAGAGTGCATGGTTAGTCTAAATGACCCTGGCCAGATGTAGGCAGACTGTATGACAGCTTGTTAAAAGAAGTATCTGTGACATAAAGCTAGAATCTGCTGTCTTTAAAGGATCGGGCATATTAGGAGTCTAGATTACTGTATTGCTAGATGGTATGACATTTTTTCTTTTCTCTATTTATTATATACATTGGTGTTTTGCCTGAATGTCTCTGTGTCTGAGGGTGTTAGAACTTCTGGAACTTATGTTACATAGACAGTTAATGATCTATCATGTATTTGGTGGGAATTGAACCTGGGTCTTTTGGAAGAGCAACTGGTGCTTTTTAACCCCTGAGCCATCTCTCCAGGGCCCCCAATCCCCTTTTGGTTTTTAGAGACAAGGTTTACTTGTGTAGCCTTGACTGTCCTGGAACTCACTCTGTAGACCAGGGTGGCATCGAACTCACAGAGATCTGCCTGCCTCTGCCTCCTGAGTGCTGGGATTAAAAGCGTGTTCCACCACCACCTGGCTCTTCACTTAATTTTAAGTGTACCTGGAGCTTACTTATTTGCTTAGACAGCAGGCCTCAGGGAATCCTATTTCTAGTTCCTCAATGTTTGGATAACAGGCGTGTGCTGCTGAATTCAGCCTTTTACATAAGTTCTTGGGGTCTGGACTCAGGTTCTCATGCTCCTATGGCAAACACTCTGTTATCTCCTCATTGAACAGAGCAAATGTTTGTTCAGTATTTTATAAACATGGTTTATGTGTATTGGTGCTCTGTCTGCATGAATATATGTATACCGTGTGTTGCCTGGTGGTTGTGAATCACCATCTAGGTGTTGAGAATTGAACTCAGTTTTTTTGGAAGAGTATTTCGTGCTCTTAACTACTGAGCCAACTCTTTCCCGGTCCAGTACTTTTTATATGTATGTAGTAATGTTGAAAATACTGAGTTTCATTGTGATTGTAATATTTTCATATATGTATGTAACACACCTTGATTGATTGTATTTCTAAAAGTAGTTCTAAGAAAATATAGGTTATGGGCCAGTGAGCTAGCTCAGTGGGTAAAGGCATTTGCTGTAAAGCCTGAGGACTCAAGTTCAATCCCTGGGCCCCACAAAGTAGAAGGATATAATCACTTTCCTCAAATTGTTCTCTGATCTATAGATATGCACTATGGCAAGTACACACACATACACAAATGTAATACAAAAACTTTATAAAGTATTGAATTATATTGGGGCAGGGTATGATACTTTTTTGGGTCCACGTTTTTGTTTTTCAATCTACATGTCTTTAAAATCTAGAAGGAATGGCTCGCATATTGAATAGCAGAATTCAATATGAGTTTGAAGTATTTTATTTTATTTTTTTAATTCTTTATTAATTACACTTTATTCACTTTGTATCCCCCCTGTGGTTCCCTCCCTCCTCCAGTCCCAATCCCTCCCTTCCTCCACCCTCTGCATGCATGCCCCTCCCCAAGTCCACTGATAGGGGAGGTCTTCTTTTCCTTCCCGATCCTAGTCAATTAGGTCTCATCAGGAGTGGCTGCCTTGTCCTCTTCTGTGGCCTGGTAAGGCTGCTTTCCCCTCAGGGAGAGGTAACTTAAAGAACAGGCCAATCAGTTCATGTCAGAGACAGTCCCTGTTCCTATTACAATGGAACCCACTTGGATACTGAACTGCCATGGGCTACATCTGTGCAGGGGTCTTAGGTTATCTCCATGCATAGTCCTTGGTTGGAGTATCAGTCTCAGGAAAGACCCCTGGGCTCAGAATTTTTGGTTCTGTTGCTCTCCTTAAGTAATCCAATTAAAAAATGGAGTACAGAGCTAAACAGAGAATTCTCTGTAGAGGAATATCGAATGGCAGAGAAACACTTAAAGAAATGTTCAACGTCCTTAGTCATAAGGGAAATGCAAATCAAAACAACCCTAAGATTTCACCTTACAGCCATCAGAATGGCTAAGATCAAAAATTCAAATGACAACACATGCTGGAGAGGTTGTGGAGAAAGGGGAACGAACCCTCCTCCACTGCTGGTGGGAGTGTAAACTTGTACAACCACTCTGGAAAGCAATCTGGCGCTTCCTCAGACAACTAGGAATAGCGCTTCCTCAAGATCCAGCTATACTACTCCTAGTCATATACCAAAAAGAGGCTCAAGTACACAATAAGGACATTTGCTCAACCGTGTTTGTAGCAGCTTTATTTGTAATAGCCAGAAGCTGGAAACAGCCCAGATGCCCGTTAGTGGAGGAATGGATACAGAAATTGAAGTATTTTATTAAGCGATAGACTAACTCTAAGATGAAATTCAGTATATTTAACATAAAACAACATACTTAGACATAATATGCTTTCTATGATTGCTCTGGAGAAAGCCACTTCAGTGGTTTATGTGATAAGGACCAAAGTTTTATATGCTGTACATCAAATGACCAGGATTGGTTTATTTAGTAAATGGAAATGAAAAGAGATGATTATAAGTTTTTATTATCTGAAGATTCATTCATGTGACAAAAGTTCCCTTCCTTCCTGTCCTAATAAAATGTGTTTCATTGACAGCAACACAATGGCCTGTGTTGTGGTCTAATGTTAAGTTTTGGGATTCGTTCTGATGGATGAATAGAACTGCTTTGGCAAGATCCTTTGATAGCTGAAAACAATGTTATATTAAGACTAAGGGGAGTTGGAGTATTTAAAATGGAGACATGAAGGCTTAATGTCATTCCCCTAAGGTAGCTGAAGCATGTCTGAAAGTAAAGATGTATATTTTTTATGTGGAAAATCAGGTTCAATAGTCAGGAGTAGTGAGCTTTGCCACTTTTCTTTCGAGGTGTTCAGGCTGTGTCTGAGTGTTTACCTGTCAATGTTATGGGTACAGATCTGGTCAGAGATTAGGTAGATTTAATGTCTTAATGGTCTACTTTTATCTCCACATGTGTGAAATGAAAATGTAGGTATATAATTTAAACATGAGAGTGATCCTTTATCTTATTCAGTGAGACTATTAGGGAAGAGGGTATACCACCAGAAAGATGATAAGTACTAGACAGAACTGGCCGGTTGTTTGCAACCTCGGTAGTCTTAGTTTGTAGTTTGAGGATTTACGAGCCTCTAATACCTGAACTTGCCTTCACAATTCCCGCTTTCTAGCCTTTGATACTGATGAGAAGTAGTTTGTATTATGAAGTTGAAATATGATGAAATATTTTGCTGTAGTTAAATTGAACACAGACTGCTAATAAGTAAAGATTGCCGGAATAACTCAGACTTAATGTGAAAGAGTGGAATTCTTCTGCCCATGCAAACAGGAATGTCTGGCTTTATCCTTCCACTGTCATGAAGGCCAGTCCTTATTAGTTCGTTTCTTGTGGACTGTCCTTTATTTCTTATGGCTGAAGAAATTTGGATTTTTAAAACTATTGAAATATCTATACTTAAGAAAAATTGTTCTTGCTTTTTATCTTATGCAACAAAGTCTCAAAAGCTTATAAAACTTAACTGTGCTTTCTGGTTTGGTAATTCTTCACTTTTTTGAATATTTGTACTATTGAAAGTTATTTTGTGTTGCAAGCAGGATTCTGAACTGTTTTTAGAAATTAGTAACTAGACCTTGAGATACAGGTGAAAGCCATGGGTCTATAAGCCCTTTGAGTGGATTTCCCATGGATAGAAAACATCGGATTGAGGAACAAATTAAATATCCCATGGAGAAACACTGGATCAGCCCTAGAATGTGTGATATTGTGTAGGACATTTGCCTGGTTCTTTCAAAATTCATTATCATGAAAAGAAAGGAGATCTGTTCTAGGTGAAAAGAGAATGAGGAGGCATGTCGAGCAAATTCCATGTATGACTTGGAGGGATTCAATTTTCAGGAATATGTCCTTGAAAGATGCTGTGCAAATAGATAAATTTGAATATGGATCAGTTCTATGATTCTTACAGGACTGTCTGTTTTCCTAATTATTTAAATGATAGGGTGCTTTAGATAATAGTGCCCTTGTTTTAAAGTGATGCCTGCTGATAGGCTACTTGCAAAGTGTTGTGTGTAACTTGAAATAATTGGGATAACATTTAAAATTTATTTATTTACATGTATGTGTGTGTATGTTTGTGAGTATGGCGTCAGGTGCTGTGGAACTGGAATTATAGACAGTTGTGAGCCATCATGTGTGTGCTAGGCATCAAACTCACTCAGGTCCCCTGGAAGAGCAGCAGATGCTCTTAACCTCTGAACCACTTCTCTGGCTTCAGGGTAACTTTAAAAGCTTGTACAGGCATATAGATAAAACAGATATGACAAGTTTCCAACAATCTTTGAATCTAGGTGGACAGTATGCAGGACGTTTTGTGGATTTAAATTTTTCCATAATATGAGGGGAAAACGGTAATTCCTGGAATTTGATATCTCAGTTTTAGGATGAGAATTAGGGCTTTTGAAGAACAGTGTAATAATTGAATTAACAGGATTTGCCATTGCTTATTTCTCCCAGAAATAAAGTATAGAAAGAAAGTATTTATGTTGCCTACATACCTGGGTGTATTATATGGTGTACTTCAGTTCTCTAAGTAAAAAAATACTTTCTCTGCTTCCTGGCTGGAAGGATGACTATACTGGCTTGAAAATGAATGTGGAAAAGTTTTGTGAGAATATTCACATTAGTAGAAAAAACCCTGCTGAACTCTGTTTAGAGGAAAGTTCACTTATAGAATTTCAATTTTCAAAAATATTTTAAATGCTTTGAAAGCATTCAGATTGTATTCATCAGTTTCTTATTACAGAGATTTGGTAGTAAGCTAGAAGCTTTTAAAAAGCAGAAACTATGATTTTTAAACCTTAACAACAAAAATTCCTTGAATTATACCTTTATTGTCTGCCATATGAATTTATTTTATTGCATATATTCTGAAGCTTAAAAGTCTTGTACTGTTTTTAAGGTGGCTTTTATAAAGTACTTTGTATGTAAATAGTCATTATTTGTTAAATAATGCAGTAATACTTGAGGAAAATGGTACAGTATTTTAAGGCTTATCATGCTGATCATTGAAGACCTTTGCTTTTTTTTTTGTTTTGTTTTTAAGTAGTAAGAGAGAGTTTATTCTGGAGCTATTTTGAGTGACCATGTCCTAGGAACATAGATGTAGGTTCTCACAGTTTGAATGTTTCAGTGTGGAAGCAGTTTCAAAAATTAGTTCTGTTTTGGTAACTAAATGTCATTTGGGAAAATATCTGTTAAAAATGTCCGACATTTGAACCAATGGTTCTGTTGTCATTTAAATCTCCTGAAAATAGTTTAATATGAAATTTATAGAACAATTTGTAAAGAGACATTTTGGTGAAAATGTTTAAGTTTGCTGAATGGTAATGTGTTTTATAGGATTAACACAGCCTTGTATGTGTGCGTGTTTACTGCATAATTATGCTGGCATATGGTCACATATCTTTCCTTCCTCTTTCTCTTCCTGGTTTGCAGAGTATTTGGTTTCTGACACTGGAGGACAGCAGCTCTCAATAAGTGATGCCTTCATCAAAGGTAATCTAAAAACAACTGTACTTGAAGTGATGGTGTGCATGAGGTCTTAGCACATGGATTGACAGAAAGTGCTGACTGTATTTGATTATTTTGGTATCATAGGAACATGATTTTTCAATGTGTAGAATGACTTTGGAGTATGTTGGAAGTGAAGAGTATAAACTTGGTTTGAGAGGAGACTTTTAAAGTCAGAGTGACTGTTTAATTATTTTTGAATAGTTTGTGTTGTATTCTTTTGAAGACATTATATTAATAGTAAATGTTGATATACGTATTGTCAAGGATTGCCTCTTTGTCAGAGAGCTCATCGCTTGAACTTGATGTTTGGGAAGAGAAGTAGGGAAAAGAGAATAAAGCACTTAATCCACTGATGAGTTTCATTCTTCATTACTAAAGAAGAGTAGATGAACAAAAACCTCTCCTACCTTTAACGTTACTGTGAAGAAAAGATAAAGGGAAAGAAGGATCCTTACCTGGTCTTCTTAGTTCCTGGAGTTTCAGAAAAAGAGGAGGTGGGGCAAGTTGGAATAGTGGAGGCCAGTGGCAGCTTGGCAGGCCTAACATCTGGTTCATTTAGAAGTTTATAGACTGGCTGGTCATGTAATTGAAAAGTGTCAGTCTTGTGCCTCATGTACCCATGACACATACTTTATATAAATTGGTTTGCTTTAAAAGAGGAAGTACTAGAATTTCCTATCTCTTTCTCCCTGTTTGTTCAGTCATATTATTCAGTGATTATTTAATGAGCACCTGTTTTGTAAAACATTATTATCTATCTAATTTTTTGTTGTCTATTTTACCCCTTTAAAAATTACTGTTTGTATTTTTGTAGGTCATGTGTGTGTGTGTGCATGTGTTTATGTGCATGTGAGTGCAGGCACCAGCAGAGACACCAAAGGTGTTGGCCTGATGTGGGAGTTGGGAACTGAACTCCATCTTCTGGAAGAACAGCAAATGCTCTTAACTTATGAATCATCTCTCCAGCTCCCAAAGCAATGTAAACCAGGCTGGCCTCAAGTCCATAGAGCTATACTGCAGCCTTTGCCTCCTGAGTGCTGAGATTAAGGGTGTACACTACCACACCCAGTCATTTCACCCTTTTTAAAAATGTAAGGACTTTTCAGAGTCTTACGTAAGCGATTTATATAATGTTTTATTTAATATAATTTCTTTATGGTTTTGTTTTTTAGTCTATTTTGTTAAACATTTTGTTTTAAGGCCTATGTTGTAAAGTACAGTGGAGGATTTGTGAAGAATCTTTATACTGTCATCTGGGGCTAGGGATGTCCATTTGAGTTACTCTCTTGGGAGTTCAGGGCCCACGTGACTCTGTTGTACTGTTATCATTCAGATTTCAGTTGAATGTGGTTTTCAGTTTATGATTTTATGTGGAAAATCTGCATTCTTAGTAACTGTAAAACAGTGGCTCTCAACCTGTGAGTCACAACCCCTTTGTGGATCAAGTGGCTCTTTTACAGCGTTACTTAAGAAAGCACAGATGTTTATATTGTGATTCATAACAGTAACAAAATACAGTTATGAAGTAGTGACACAAATAACTTAATAGTTGGGGCCACCACAACACGAAGGACTGTAGTAAAGGGTTGCAGTGTTAGGAGGGTTGAAAATTACTGCTTTAAAACAAAGAGAATAGCCAGAAGATGGTGGTACACTCCTTTAATCCCAGTACATACAGAGGCAGAGGCAGGTGAGTCTCTGTGAGTTGGAGGCCAGCCTGGTTTAGAGTGAGTTCTAGGACAGCCAGGGCTACACAGAGAAACCCAGACAAACAGGATGCAGAATTACCATTCTGTTTGTGTTTCAGAATTCATGTTGACACTCTTGGTGCAAGAGTCCCTGTAACTTTGGTTAAGTTGCTTTTAGTAACTGTGCTCAGATTTTGCCTGATGCCAGTTGTTGCTGGGTCTTGCATGTGCTAGAGAAATGCTGTACCTCAAGCCCTGCTTCTGCATTTTAGTGTGTTGACGTATGTATATATGTATGATTGCATATTTTTTTATGTATTTTAATTGTATATTGATTACAGGTCTTTGCCATTTTTTGGCAATAATTTATACTGGCCAACTTCAGAGATTTTTTATTTTCTAAATCTATGAGCTGATGATGTAAAACATGAGAATAAATTACTAACTTCTTATTTTATGTTTAGAGTCCTTATTCAATCGACGAGTAGAGGAAAAATCCAAAGAGCTGCCTTTCACTCCTCTGGGCTGGCATCATAACAACCTGGAGCTCTTGCGGGAGGAGAATGAGGAGAAGCAAGCCATGGAAAGGCTGCTGTAAGGCACTAGACCTTAAATTTTCACCTATAGTTTTTGTAATTTTCAGTGACTTGGGCATATGCCTAATTCCTTTTCCTTATAAAGTGAAAAATACTAATTTAAAATATATTCTGACTTCTGATGAAATATCTTATAAAACAGAGTTCCCAATTTATGTGTTAAAATTTTAATTTAGCAGTTTGAAGGTTTTTTATTAGTTTGAAGATATTCCCAGCTTTCATTTTTGTACAGAATCATTATGGTGAAGATATATTGAAAGAATAAAATTGAATGGAAGATCTTATGTGTGAGCCATAATTGGAATGTTTTTTCTTGTAGAGTGCCTCTTGTGTTTTTAGTATTAACTGTGTAAACTTGCTTTCATAACATTTTGTAGTTCAGCTAATCATAACCACATGATGGCACTACTCCAGCAGTTGCTTCATAATGAATCATTGTCATCATCTTGGAGGGACATCATTGTGTCACTCGTCTGCCAGGTTGTTCAGACAGTCCGACCTGATGTCAAGCACCAGGATGATGACATGGATATCCGTCAGTTTGTCCACATCAAGAAGGTGAGCTTTGCTAATGTTTGCTGATGCTAGGAACTGATTAGGCAGGCCTAATAGTCATTTATCAGGTGATCTGAAAGGAGCTGTTGCCATGTCAGTGATACAAACAGAGCTCTTGGTAGCCCTCATAGGAAGTGAGAGGTGCGTGGAAGGAGTGAGTTGGGTGTGTGGTGAGGACCAAAATAAACAGTTTCTTCCTTTCTTAATGTTTCTTCTTGGTATGCTATTTATGAGAAGGTCTGTTCTCAGAGGTTACTGTCACTGTCATGAGGGAAAGAGTGGGTAAGTGCTTTAATTAGATAATACTAACTTTCGAATGTATGTTTTATCTATAATATTTAATGTTAAAAATAGTGCCACAGACATCAGCTCATTTAGTCAATGAGTAGAGTAGCATATGTGATCTTAAGAGAGTAGAGGGTAGGAAAACAGTCATGATGAGATAGATAATCATGAGATGAAATGAACTATATATCTTCTTACCCTTTATTTAACTATGTTATAGTTCAAAGATGTAAAGGCATAATAAATAATAGCCATCTGATGAAGTTTGAGGGTATATCACTGATTTTTCTTGTTTTCTTGTTTTATTAGATCCCAGGTGGAAAGAAATTTGATTCCATGGTTGTCAATGGCTTTGTTTGTACCAAAAACATTGCACATAAAAAGGTAATGAGTTTCAGTTCAGCAGTGAAATTTAGTAGACCATGGCTTTTTGTTAAGCTCACAAGTTGGGACTTCTTAATTATGCAAGAAAAGAAGATGTTGAAGGGTACCTAGCCATGTGTTTCATAGAGGTGAAAGTTTGGAGGTTCCAGGAATATCTCCCAGAGCTGATGATGGATTGGAATTTGAATAATGGAAGCTCATAAGATAGAAGAAGGAAGGTGAGAGGATGGTTTCCAGATAAGTAGAGGGCAAGGATACTGGTATCCTGTCTCCCTAGATCTTGCCTCCAGGCAGGGTTTTTCTGAAAGACTGTTCATTCAGGTGTTTAGTTTTCTACAACTGGTCCTACTGCAGAATTGTCTTTATTTTATGCTTCTCACCCATTCTGCCTCTACCCTCAGCTCTAAAGCCTCTTGAGTATGAGCACAAAGACAGGAAGTTAGGTTAGATATTGAATGTTAGGGAATCTTGAGTTTTGAAAGTGTAAATGTTGGACTGTCAGTTGGCTTTGAAGGAAGCAGGCAAGGTCTCTGTTCTCACCAAGGGTTCGAACTTCTGAGGGCTTTTAATTCTCAAAGTATAGCATATATCAGGATTTGCTGGGCACCTTCTTAAATATGTGGATCCCCAAACTTCTTAGACCAGCACATCAGTAGGTTTAAGGGAATAGGAAAGGGTAGATGAGTGAGGGGAGGATCCTATTACATTTAAAGTAGGCACTATGGATATTTCAGTGTCATCTGTTGGTCATCACAGTAGAGTAAATTTTTATTGATTAATTTTCTGTGGGTGTTTTGCTTGCACACATGTCTGTGTGCCACGTGTATGTCTGATGCCATGGAGGTCAGAAGAGGGCATTGGATCTCCTGGAACTAGATTTGCAGATGGTTGTGAGCTGCCATGGGTGCTGGGAATTATACACCCAGAGCTCTTAACTGCTGAGCCGTCTTATCAGCACCCTGCTCTTCACATTTTGAGAAACTATGATACCAATCTCACATCTTGCTCTACTTCACAATCATCAAGGAAACTAGGGATACCTTGGCCTTATCACAGGAGACATTGGTTTTATTGCTGGAAAAGTTGAGACAGCCATAAAGTAGATAAAGTAGATGCTTGAACTGTAGTTCTGTTTTCACTATTTATAAGTATAGATGAGCAGTTGCCCTTGAGTTGTTGCGGGTTATTGGTTCCAGAGTCTCAAGGGAATGCTGAGATCTGGGATGTTCAAGTGCAAGTGTTTGCCTATAATCTGTTGAGTTCTTTCCTACATGGCTACTACAGTGTAAATGTATAAATAGTTTTTAAGCTGTACTGTTTGGGTCATAATAAATTATAATGATAAAAGTTAATTTGTGCATGATTAGGACACAGATTTTTTTTCCTCCATCTTGTGGATATTTTCTATCTGCAGTAGGTGAAACCCAGGATGTGAAAATCATGGGTATGGAGGGCTGACTATAAGACATTTAACTTTTAAAAAATTGTTAATGATCAGTTATAAATACTATGCTGGAATTCAATATTATTTCTTAGACATGGTCCAAAAATTATTGGGTATTTACATATACTATCTTGTAAATCAGGAGATTACCCTTTTAAGGTACACTATCAAACCAAAATAAGTAATGTTTATTGAATTAAGAGTAAGTGTGTTAGTCAGGTGGTAGCACACGCCTTTAATCCCAGCACACAGGAGGCAGAGGCAGGTGGATCTCAGTGAGTTGGAGGCCAGCCTGGTATACAGGCTAAGTTCCAGGATAGCCAGGGCTATGTAAAGAAACTGTATCTCAAACAAACAAAAGACTAGATGTGTTGTGTCCTTTTAGGAGTTGAAGAAAATCATGTGTAGGAGAGGAAGAAATATAGCCATGAATTATTGGTTTGCCTCACTAATCATATTTAGATGTATTCTCTAATATTAGAGCCCTAAGTATATTTCCTCAGTTACTTACTGTCCTTAGAACTGTTTGCCAGTTTGGGCTGTGTGAGTTTGGTCAAACTGAAACCTTGATGGTAGGACCCAGGCTATTCTACCGTGGCTTTACTTGGATGGTAGGAGTGTTGACACAAATTTCTTCTTTTGAAAAGAATTTAAAGTTTTCTCTTTTAACTTGACATTATCTAGTTGGGCTTGCCAATTTAAGATTATTGGGGAATTTACTCTGTTAGAATAATGTTCAAGTACCATTAATTTTTTCCTTCGTTTTCTACTTTTGAAATTTAGAAAGACTGAAATATATTTTCAAAGTTGCTTGTCTGGAGTGTGTGAATAGTCTGTGTATAATACTCACCGCCACCTAGAGCATGTTATTTGTTTTTACAGCATGAGAAATTAAAAACAAAAACATAATGAGTTGTATAGAGGGATAAGTAAGAAAAAATTGTTTTTGAAGAACTTGCTTTGAAAAAAAAAAAAGAGAATAACCCAAAAGTAATAGAGTTTGATAATAGTAGGAATTATGAGCAATATGAATTTAAAATTATGACATAGGTCTATAAAGTGCAAAACTTTAACAAACTTTATTATTATTATTTTTTTAGATGAATTCTTGTATTAAAAACCCCAAAATCCTTCTGTTGAAGTGTTCCATTGAGTATCTATATAGAGAAGAAACTAAGTTTACTTGCATTGATCCTATTGTGCTTCAGGTAAGAATTTCTGGAAGAAATCATTTGATGGCATGGATGCTTCCCTGTGTGCTGCTTGCTACTTCTTAATTAAAAAAAAAAACAAACAACAAAACTTGTTACATGTAAGTTAATAAGTTTGTGTTACACTTTAGGAACTGGCTTACCTCAATCTTATTCACTGTTTTGAAAGGTTTAGAGTGTTAAAGGGAGCACATGGCTGGGAATGTATGGGAAAAAAAGTGAAGATTCAAGTTTGGATTTATTTCTCTTCTGTACTTTAGCCATTGCTTTACTGGGAGAGTTTCTTTAACTTCTTAGGTTAATGGAACCTCCTATTTTGGCACATAGACTCCCACTAATACCTTTTTCTAGAATAAAAATAGCTTATATGTAGTTGGCAAATACAGGGATAATTTAAGATGGGGGTTATGTTGGTTTCTCTTTGCTTTTCCTGAGTACCAGGCACCAAAATAGCAGCTGTAAGTTATAACCTCAGCTTTTTTGCTGCACAGGCACAAGTTCTCTTAGCTCTCTGAAGAAATGATTACAAAGCTCTCTTCCCAGAAAGATGCACTCCTAGCCAGGCTGGTTCTTGGGAGCTTTACTGCCTAGAGCCATCTCTACCTATATTGTTGCAGTTCTTTGCATGTTTTTAATTGTAATAGAATTAAATACATCACATTCCTTTTTTCTTTCCTGCCTCCAGCCCCTCTTAGCTATCCTCTCTTGAACCCCTTCCATGTCCTACCTACTCTCTAGTTGATAGCCTTTTTTTGATGATTATTGTTATGTATGTGTATGTACAATTTTACACACACAGCTCTAACATCTGTGACTCAGGGAACACTTCAGAAGAGTAAAAAGAAATATTCCAAGAGCCAGAGGACCAGGAAGTCTGCTGTGAATGGTCTCTCCTAAAAATGGTTACATACACAAGACTAGAACAATGGCAGTATCAATGGACATGCTAAGGAAAGGTAGAAAATTTCTTCTCTTTTGAAGTGTCCCCTGAGTCACAGATGTAACAGCTGTGCTGTAGATCTTGAGGTGGGCTCACTATGATCTGTTGATGTTTTCACTGTGTCCAGTTGTGGTTTTGGTGCTAGTCTACTCTCACTGGAAAGAGAGGCTTTTTTGATGAGGGTGGTAGCCACATCTCTATGGGTGTGAGGACAAGATTTAAAATGTTGTCCAAGGCACTCTTCAGCCATGCTGTGCTGTCTTGGGGGGGTAATATAAATTTTCTGTTAAGGCAACAATTATTATTATATTCCTTTTGTTGAAACTAGATTCTTTTCTCATACAATCTATCCTGAGTATAGTTTCCTTTTCTCTTCTCATTTTCTTCCCACCTGCCTTCCCCTCCAGATTTACTCCTTTCTGTCTCTCATTAGGAAACAAACGAAAACAGGCTTCTAATGATAACAACCAAACATGAACATAATAAGATGAAGCCAAAACTATCATATTGAAGTTGGACGTGGCAACCTAACAGGAGGGGAAAAAAGGAGCAAGCACAAGAGTCAGAGACCTACTCATTCTTATAGTCAGGAGTCCCATAAAATTACTAAGCTAAAAGCTGTAATATCTATACAGAGAACCTGGTGCAGACCCACACAGGCTTTGTGCTTGCGGTGTCAGTCTCTATGAGCTTGTATGTGCCTTTAGTTGATTCAGGGAGCCTTGTAATCCTGGTATCCTCCATCCTCTTTGGCTTTTACAATCTTCCCACCTCCTCTTCCATGGAATATCTGAGCTCTGAGGGGAGATATTTGATAGATACCTTCAATTTAGACTCTCTCTATATATATTCTCTGGCTATGGGTCTCTGCATTTGTTCCCATCTGCTGCTGTAGGAAGCCTCTCTGATGATGACTGGATAAGGCACCAATCTATGAGTATAGCAGAATAAAAGGAGTCAATTCATTGCTTTTTTTTTTTTTTTTTTTTTTTAAAGATCAGTAGTGTTTGGATTTATCCCAGGTAGTCTGAGCTATCTAGCCTCTGGTTCTTAGTAACCTAAGCAGTATTGGGCATGGATTTCCTCTCATGGAGTGGATCTTAAGTCAAATCAAACATTGGCTAGGTACTCCTACAAATTCTGTGCCATTGTTGCCATAGCATGTTTTGCAGGCAGGACAGATTGTAGGTTGAAGGTTTTATGGCTGGGTTGGTGTCCATGTTTCTCTTTCAGTAGCCTTCAGAGTACCTTACTGCATCAAAGAAACCATAAAGTAAGCACCAGTTTGACTTCTTCATATTTGGTGAGTTGTGTGGGTGTTGTCCTCAGCAATGTAACTCCTACTGTCAGTTTAAAGAGAACAATTCTTTGTCTTAGCAACAGTCTGGGTTATTTGTTTGGAATTTACATGGGACCCTCTTGGTCAGCAACTCAATTAAATGCAATCCAGTCCTGCCATGGAAAGCCTTGCCTGGCTACCGGCAATGGCCAGTTGAGACTGTGTATCCCCTATTACTAGGAGTCCTCATTAGGATCACCTTCATAGATCCCAGGAAGTTTCCAGTGCTTTAGGGTCCCACATCAGCCCTCCAGATGCCCCCAATTCCAGTTGTCTCTCCTGCACTCTTTCCCTCTACCTCATCTCCAACCTGATACTTCTGCCACCTGTGTCTTCTGTTCCCACCTGACCCCAGTTTGCACTTCACCCTTCCAGACCCACGTGTCCCCCCAGATCTCCTCTTTACCTAACGTCTCTGGCTCTACAGATTGTAGCTCGGTTATCATTTTCTTAGTGGCTAATATCCCCTTATAAATGAATATGTACCATATTTTATCTTTTTGGATCAGGATTACCTCACTCAGGATGATTTTGTTTAGTTCCATCTGTTTGCCTTCAAATTTCATGATGCCAGTTTTTAAACTGCTGAATAATACTCCACTGTGTAAATGTACCACATTTTCTTCATCGCTTTTACATTTGAGGGACATTTGGGTTGTTTCCACTTCCTGGTTATTGTGAATAAAGCTGCTGTGAACATAGTTGAGCAAGTGTCCTTGTGACAGGATGGAGTGTCCTTTGAGTATGTGTCCAGGAATGGTATAGCTGGGTCTTAAGGTAGAATGATTTCTAATGTTCTGAGGAACCACTGATTTCAATATTGGTTGTATAAGTTTGCATTCCTATCAGCGATGCATGAATGTTCCTCTTGCTTCACATCCTTTCCAGCATGAGCTGTCACTTGTGTTATTAATCTTACCCATTCTGACAGTTACATGATGGAATCTCAAAGTCATCTTGATTTGCGTTTCCCTGATGGCTAAGGATGTTGAACATTTATTTGTTTCTTAGCCATTTTAGATTGCTCTATTGAGAAGTTCCTGTTCAGATATTTTACCCTCTTTCCCATCTTTTTGATCTTTTTGAGACAGGGTTTCTCTGTGTAGCTCTGGCTATTGGCTTGGATCTCAGAGATCTGCCTGCCTTTTCATCCTCAGTGCTGGGATTAAAAGCGTGTGCCACCAGGGTTTTGAAGTGTGACCTAATGATTTTTTTTGGATTTTCTTGGTATCTGTTGTTGTGTCCCCCTTTTTGTTTTTGATTTCATTAATTTGAATATTTTCTCTCCATCTTTTAGTTAGTTTGGATAAAGACTTGTCTATTTCCATTAAGGAGGCGCACGCCTGTAATCCAGCACTCGGGAAGGCAGAGGCAGGTGGGATCTCTGTGGGTTTGAGGCCAGCCTGGTCTACAAAGTGAGTCCAGGGCAGCCAAGACTACTCAGAGAAACCCTGTCTCAAAAGACAAAACAAACAAACAAAAACAAAAAAAGAAAAGAAAAACGAAACAGAAAAAAGTGACTTGTCTATCTTGTTGATTATTCTCTGTTTCTATTTATTGACTTTTGCCCTTATTTATTTCTTGCCCTCTACTCCTTTTGGATATGATTACTTCTTTTTTTCTCCAGCTTTCAGGTATACTGTTAAGTTGCTACTATGAGATCTCTTCAGTGGTTTTATGTTAGTACTTAGTGTTAGCATCACTTTCCTTGTGTTTCATAAGTTTGAGTATGCTGCGTATTCATTTTCACTCAGTTGTAGAAAGTCTGTAATGCCTATTTTGGTGTCTTGACTTATTTTCTCATACAATAGAGAGTTGTTCAGTTTTCGTAAGTTTATAAGCTTCTGTTTCTGTTGTTGATCTCTAGCTTTATTCTGTGGTGGTCTTATAGGATACAGGGAATTGTTTCAATTTTTCTTGTATCTGTTGAAACTTGCTTTGTGTCTGAGTATGTCATCAGTTTTGGAGGAAGTCCCATGAGGTGCATAGAAGAAGGTACATTCTTTAGTGTTTCAGAGAGATGTTCTGTAAATATCTGTTTTGTTTTTAATCTGTTGGCTCCAATAGATCTGTTTTCGTCTGGATGTCCTATTCATTGATGAGAGTGGGGTATTGCTTGAACTTTTTACAACCCTTTTCCCTAAGGTAATATTTATCCTTGATGTTGTAGTGTGTTTCCTGGATGTAGCAGAAGGATGGATCCTTTTTTTCTGCATCTTCTGTAAATTTTATTTTTGTATTATTCCAATTTGACAAAAATATTTTGTGGGCCTTTGACTAGTATTCCTTTCCTTCCTTTATTCCTGTTAGTCTTTGGTTTGGTCTTTTCATATTGTCTCAGATTTCCTGGAGGTTTGTTTTTTGTTTTTTTTGTTTTTTTTTTTGGCAGGGTTTCTCTTTGTAACACCCTGGCTGTCCTGGAATGCTTAGTAGACCAAGTTGGCCTCGAAATCTCAGATATCTGCCTGCCTGCCTTTGCCCCCCAAGTGCTGGGGTTGAAGGTGTGGGCCACCACCACCTGATAGACTTAACATTTTTTTTCTCTAATGTATTCATTTTATTGTGTCTTCAGTGCCTGAGATTCTCTCTTCCCATCTCTTGTATTCTTTTGGTGAAGTTTGCCTTTATAGTTTATGTTCTTATTCCTAATTTTTATTTCCAGCGTTTCCCTAGTTTGTATTTTCTTTATTGGTTCTACTTAATTTTCAGGCCTGGAACAATTTTATTCATTTTCTTCAACTGGACTTGTTTTGGTTTGAAGTCTATTTTGTTAGATATTAAAATGGCTATACCAACTTGCTTCTTAGGTCCATTTGGTTGGAATATCTTTTTACAGCCCTTTTCCTTATGGAGTTGTTAAAATATATAAAATTGTACCTTGGATTTCATGAACCATGGTACTTGAAATCTATAGATATTCTTAATCAAAGAGTTATGCTTACCTTACTTCGTGGTTATTTCATTCTCCAAATCTTGTTAACAAATTTGTTTTTTCATGTGAATTATGTTTTGGGCACATCTGTAGTTAACATAGATTTAATTCTGATATCATGAGGCATCTCGTTCAGCAGTGTTTTCAAACATTTTTAAAAACCTTTAATTCTATTTCTGTTAAACTTTTTAGTTTGAAAAGAAAAATATCAGCTAATTTGATATATTTTTCCCTCATTTTCTTTTCTTTTCTGTCTCTTCTGTCCTTCCTACCACCTGCAAGTGTAAAATAATCAGGGAGGAAGCAAATGTAGTCCGAAAAGGATGAGAAGCAAGGGACAGGATGTAATTGGGTTGTGTTGTCGTTTACACTGCTGTACTAGATTTGTTGGTCTGTAGTCCCCCAAATGGTGCTTGGGGCACACCTTGTGATAGTCTTTCTTGGATGAGCAAGAACCACACCTGCTTTTTAGTATGGAACTTTATGTACAGTTTTATTAGTGAAATAGAGTTATTTGCCAACATTGTACCAGAGGCAGACCATGTTTGTGTGTGCTTATGTATGTGTGTGTCACACAGAATCTTATATAGACTGGGCCGCCCTGGACATTTATTTATTTATTTATTTATTTATTTATTTATTTATTTATTTATTTATCTATTTATTTATTTATTCATTCATTCATTCATTCATTCATTTATATTAATTACAGTTTATTCACTTTGTATCCCCCCATAAGCCCCTCCCGCCTCCCCTCCTGGTCCCACCCTCCCTCCCCCTTCTTCGTGTATGCCCCTTCCCAAGTCCACATGCCCTGGACTTTTAATTCAGTTTTACTAATGCTGAGAGTACAGGTTTCTTTTAACCATGTTTAGCTTCAGGATAAGTTAATTAAATTTTATTAGAGGTATACAAACAGAATAATTACAAATGTCCTTAAATTAAAATTTTTTTAATATTTTTATTTTTTTATGTACATTGGTGTTTTATCTGCATGTGTAAGGGGGTTGGGTCCCCTGGAACAGGAGTTACAGGCAGTTGTGAGCTGCCATGTGGGTGCTGGAATTGAACCTGGGTCCTTTGGAAGAGCAGACAGTGCTCTTAACCACTGAGCCATCTCTGCCATCCCTAAATTAAATTTTAATAAGCAGTTTAGGAAGCTAATCTATTTTACTAATAAAGGGAAAATGTGGGAATGCATAGTTCTATATCTTTTTGTTTGTTTATTTTGAATAGACTTGCTATATATCCTAGAGTGATCTCAAACTCAGGATCATTTATCTTCAGAGTTGGAGTTCTAGGATTGTAGGCGTATGCCAGCATGCTAGGCAAAAATGTGTAATTTCTATAAGTAAAACAGAGAAAGAAGAAATGTCCTTCTTAGCAGGTAGTTTAATTTGTTAAAAATCTCATATACTGCGGTGGCTGTGAATGGTTGTACAGGTTTTCATAAAGAAATTTTTTGGGCACATACATGGAGTAGAAGTGGCAGACATGTTCATTTTCAGTTGTCCCCTGTCAGGGACCAGACTCCTGTGACCATTTGCAGTATTCATTTGCTTTGCAATGAAGCCTGTATTGTGGTAAAATTTCCATATTTTTTTTTTTCTTTTTCTTTTTTTGGCTTTTCTCTGTGTAACAGCCCTGGCTGTCCTGGAATCGATTTGTATAAAAGGCTGGCTTTGAACTCTCAGACATCTACATGTTTCTGTCTCCTGAGAGCAGGGATTAAAGGTGTGTGCCACCACACTCAGCTATTATGGTGAAATTATACTAAGCATTATGTTTTAGAACTTGAGTTGTATTTGTTTTAGTTGTAATAGGATATTAGAGTTAGGAGATAAGTGAAGTAGCATTTGTCTGAGGATTATTAGTTTTGACTCCCCCAAAAGATACATTTGTATGTTACAGAATGGAGCAGAAAATTCATAACCATACACATTTAGAAGTTGCTTTTATTGTGATAGTTGTAGGAGTAGGCATTTTTATTGTTGTTGCTTGAAAGTCTAGTTTAAAATCTTTGGAGATTTAGCTATTGGGTTCTTGTTTTTTTTTTTTTTGAGACAGGGTTTCTTTGTGTAGCCTTGGCAGTGCTGGACTTGCTTTGTAGACCAGGCTGGCCTCAAACTCACAGTCTCATCTGATTCTGTATCCCCAAATGCTGGGGTTACGGACGTGTGCCAACATGCCTGGTGCTTACTGGGTTTTTAATGCTTGTTATTTACACACATGGTTCTTTTTCCCCCATATGTTGCTAAGGTTGAACCATAGTACCCTGAGGGTGTTTGGCATGTACTCTTCTACTGGGCTACATCTTCAGCAAATTTTTAAAAATAAAGTTTATTGGAGGATGGAACTTTTCCCAAAACTTTTAATTATAATGAATAGTTTAGAATTATGACTAAAATTCTTTGTTGCATTTAAATTTGTTACAGACTTATTTGTGAATGAAAAGTTACAGACTGGAAATTTATTTTAATAGTCAGGCTGTTATGATATTTTAGTATGTCTGAATCTTGAATTATACCAGGTTTTGTATTTCTGATTTATCTCATCTAGGAAAGGGAATTCTTGAAGAATTATGTGCAGCGAATAGTTGATGTTCGGCCCACGTTGGTTCTAGTCGAGAAAACAGTGTCTCGGATCGCTCAGGACATGTTACTGGAGCATGGCATTACTCTGGTCATTAATGTAAAGTCAGTGAGTGTTCTTATTTCCTGTATTTGTTCACTTAAAAATCATGGCTTTAAATTAATATGCATGTGTGGTAGGTATGCAGCGACGCTTTTATTTCGTGTACCACTTCTATTGTAAGTGGGCCCCAGTGTGGTAGCTACTCCATTGTTGTCTGTAGATTTACTCTGAAAGACAGCGTGACTGTACCTGTTCTTTTGGGTGTTGATGAGGGTAAAGGTGGAATGGACATTAGCCCATCAGCAAGTACTTAATTAGTGCCTCACTATTCCTTCTGCAAAATAGAGGCCACTTTTAAGGAAACTGATTTTTTTAGTTGTTTTCTTACAGCATCTTGTGCTGAGACATGCTATGCAAATGCTCTTAAAAAAGATAAGAACAAAATAAAGGAACAATAAAAAAAGAAGACAAGCTCTTACATTGTACTTCTCACAGGTCTGGAACTCACTAATTAGGCCAGGCTGACCACAAACTTGAACTGATCCTCCTGCCTCTGCCTCCCAAGTGCTGGTGTTATACAAGTATACCACCATGGCATGCCTATCTTTTGGTAATAGTACCATGAGCATATTTTTTTGAGACTACATACTGATTATTTAACAAGTAAATTTGTCCAAATATAAAACAAAAAAAACTGTCATGTAATTATTAAAATTAAGGAAATTGCAGACACTGATATTCCAACCAAGGACCATGCATGGAGATAACCTAGAATCCCTGCTCAGATGTAGCCCATGGCAGCTCAGTGTCTCTAACATGAACTCAGTGGCTGGCTCATTGATCAACGCTCCCTGGTGGTGGTGGTGGGGAAGCAGCCATACCAGGCCACAGAGGAAGACAATGTAGCTAGTTCTGGTAAGACCTGATAGGCTAGGGTCGGATAGAAGGGGAGGAGGACCTCCTCTATCAGTAGACTAGGGGATCAGCATAGGGGGAGAAAAGGGAGGGAAGATGGGATTGAGAGGAGTCGAGGGAGGGGCCCCCAGCTGGGATATAAAGTGAGTAAAGTGTAATAAATAAAATAAAAAATTAAGGAAATTGATTGTGAACATTATTTTGTTTTAATATTCCATGTACTTTTCCAGATTAAATTTATTAAGGTTTTTTACTTATAGCTAATTCTGTAATGCAATGTTTTTCTGTGTTGTAGCAAGTTTTAGAACGAATTAGTCGGATGACCCAAGGTGATTTAGTGGTGTCCATGGACCAGCTGCTTACTAAACCACACCTGGGCACTTGCCACAAATTTTATATGCAGATATTTCAGTTGCCTAATGGTGAGTCATCTCAAGCATACATTCACTTAGTTGGGGATCTGAAGGAGTGAATCGACTCCTAGTTAAATATATAGGATTGTTTACCCAGGAAGTGTTAATATCTGTTAGCATGGTTAAGAGAGAGTAGTCCAGTGCGGTTTTATTCCTGTGAAGGTTTTCTTTTTTGTGGGTAGTAAATTCTGTTTGGTTCTCTGGATTCTTATCTGAGTCTCTTAATTTTGTTTATTTGTAGAGCAAACCAAAACACTGATGTTTTTTGAAGGCTGCCCACAGCACCTTGGCTGCACAATCAAGCTAAGAGGAGGCTCTGAGTATGAGCTGGCTCGAGTTAAGGAAATCCTAGTATTTATGACCTGTGTAGCTTATCATTCTCAGCTAGAAATCTCCTTTCTCATGGATGAATTTGCTATGCCTCCAACTTTAACGCAAAGCCCTTCATTCCATTCCCTGACTGAGGGACTAGGGGAAGAGGGAGTTCCTCAGGAGCAGTTCAGTGGTAGCTCCCTTCCCCAGGACCCAGAGTGTCCTCCTGATTCCCTGTCTTCTGATGATAGCACTTTGGTGGAATCAAGGATTGTGCTTGAGAAGGGTGAGCAAGACAATAAAAATGTTCCACAGGCTGTTACCTCTTTGAAGCATCAAGATTACACCACTTCCACTTGCCCAGCAGGTATCCCCTGTGCTCTCTTTGCATTGGTACCTGAGGCATTGTTACCTCTCCATATGGATCAACAGGATGCTATAGGAAATGAACAGCCAGAGACATTGCAGCAAACAGATGAACAACAGGATCCCAAAAGCCAGATGAGAACCTTTAGAGACCCTCTACAAGATGACACCGGAATGTATGTTACTGAGGAAGTCACCTCCTCTGAAGATAAACGAAAGACTTATTCCTTGACATTTAAACAGGAATTAAAAGATGTAATCCTCTGTATCTCTCCAGTTATTACATTCTGGGAACCTTTCCTTTTAACTGAAAAGGGGATGAGGTGCTCAACTCGAGATTATTTTCCAGAACAGATTTACTGGTCTCCTCTTCTCAACAAAGAGGTAAAGGAAATGGAGAGCAGGAGGAAGAAACAGCTGCTTAGGGATCTCTCTGGACTTCAGGGCATGAATGGCAGTGTTCAGGCCAAGTCTATTCAAGTCTTACCCTCACATGAACTAGTGAGCACCAGGATTGCCGAACATCTGGGTGATAGCCAGAGGTTGGGTAGAATGCTGGCTGATTATCGAGCTAGAGGAGGAAGAATTCAGTCAAAACATTTGGACCCTTTTGTCCACTCAAAAGATACATCATGTACTTCAAGTGGCAAATCAGGAAACAAAACTGAGAGTGATGAAGAGAGGGGATTGATTCCAAGTGATGTCTTATGGTCAACAAAGGTAAGTCATCACTCTTGAGTGTTTTTCTAAGTTTAGAATTTTGTATGTGTTGAAAAACTAGAGGCAAGATTAAAATCAATATGACAAATTACATGCAGTTATTAAATATTTACTCTTCTGCTTTTTATTTTTCTTGAGACTAATGAAATATGCATGAAATAGAAAAGTAGGTTCATAAAGTTAACAAAACTGGGATTTTGGATTTTAATATGCACTTGTAAAGTGGAAAGGGCCTGAGTTAAGGGAAAGTGTGCAGCTGCTTGAAGTTGTTTGTCTCTGTCGCTTATATGTGATATGATGTAGCCTTTGACTTTTCAGTGTTTTAAGATAGGTCTTGTTTTAGTTTCATTTCGCTGTTATTGTTGCTGTGATCAAATACCCTGATAAAAAGGCAGCTTATGGAAGAGCTTATTTAGCTTGTAATTCCAGGTTACAGTCCATCATTACAGAGAAGCAAAGGCAGCAGGAACTTGAAGTAATTTATGATACCACAACCACAATTAAGAGCAGAGAGAAAGAAATGCGTATATGCTGCTTGCTTGCTTGTGCTCAGTTTTACTTCTCCATTCTTCCACAGTTCAGGGCCTTTTGCTGGGGATGGCGCCATCCGTAGTAGACCGAGTCTTCCCACATTTTGACTCAGATACGCCACCTTCCAACCCAGTGTGGCTAATCCTTCATTGAAACTCTTTTTCCAGTTGAAGTCTCAGTTATGGACCAGCACAGCTTGCTTTATTGTTTTGATGATAGTCGTTGTGAGAGACAGAAATTTAATTTTGAAAATGGACCTGTTATAAGAAAGTATGTAAAGCCGGGCAGTGGTGGTGCACGCCTTTAATCCCAGCACTCAGGAGGCAGAGGTAGGCGGATCTCTGTGATTTTGAGGTCAGTCTGGTCTCCAAAGCAAGTCTAGGATAGCCAGGGCTACACAGAGAAACCCTGTCTCAAAACAAACAAACATATATATATATATATATATAATTTGTACTGTTAAATATATATATATATATTTAACAGTAAAATTTTTTTATTTTGTTGTTTAACTGTGTCTGTTTAGATAGAAGTTAAAGGTAATTAAAGAAGGTTCACTCAAAGATATTTCAAGAAGATTTACTTGTTTATCGATACATTACTAATAATGAAACTAATGAACTCTTTCATTCAATGTAATGCAGTCTTGTCATAAAAATATATTTTTTCTGTTAATCAAGGGAATTTTAAATGGTAGCGCTAAATAGTTGTTTTTGAGACTCACAAAAAGAACCATGCTTAGTGAGAGTCAAGAAAATTTGAATGATTTGGTATAAATTTATAGAAAGTGATGAGGGGTCTCTTTTATTGCACATTTATATAGCTTTGATTCAGGATTCCAATTTCTCTTTTCTTGTAGAGTGAATTAAATATATCTGTATGTGTATGTTGCTTGTATATATGTATAATGGTGTTTGTTGAAGCACTGTATCCATTTTTTTTTTTTTTGTAGTTAAAAGGATTACATATTTTGCAGATGACAAATACCTGACATAAACAATTTAAAGAAGTTTATTTTAGCTCATGATTTCATAGGTTTCAGTCCATACTCCTTGACTGCATTATTCAGGGTAGCTGGAGGCATTGGTAGAGGTATTCACTTCACAGCAGACAAGAAGCAGAGAGAAATAGAAGGGCCTGGGATAAGATACCGCCTTGATGGAGACCCCTCCAGCGATCTACTTCTTCCATGTAACCCCACCTTCTAGTTTCTAGAACTTCTGTTGTAGTACCCTGCTGAGGAACAAACCTTAAATACAGGATTTTTGGGCCTGGGCGTCATTTAACCCATATCACAGGATATCTTGGTACCATTTATGATCTGCATGAAACCCATGGTAACTCCTTAACTACTAAAAAGTATGTCATGGAATTAATTTTGTGAATGATGGTTTTTTTGGTTTTTGTTTTTAAAAAACAACTTTAAAGATTTGCTATATTAGCATAAAACACTATGGATATATTTTAGCATGCCCTCCAGAAAGAGAGTTATGTTAGTTTATTTTTGTAGCATATCTCATTTTAATGAAAACAAACTTACCTTTTTGTATGTATGTGTGTATATACATGTGTGATTGTGCATGTATGTATATATGAACAATGAATAAAGAAAAAGTGGTTTTTCTTTTAGTGTGTGTTTGTTTGAAATAGGTTTTTTTTTTGTTTTTTGTTTTTTTGTAGCCTAGGCTGGCATCAAACTCAAGATCTAGTTGAGCAAGACATTTAACTCCTAATTCTCTAGACTCTACTTCCCAAGTGCTGGGATTACATGCATGTGCTACCACACTGGCCTGAGTGGTTGTTTAGCTATATAAGCTACCTAGTTTGATAGCCAGGGTAGCACTTGAGGAGGAACTTTAATTTATGTTTCTCTACTACTTGAATTTTAACAAGGAACATGTAGTCATTCAAAAACAGGGAAAAGTAGAGGTGAAAAATGCCTTAAAATTTAGAATTCTAGGCATCATCTGTCAGGTTTCCCTAGAATATATTTTAGTTAATTTGGTCTTTAGGAAACAAACTTCTCCAGCACTCAGGGAGGCAGAAGCAGGCAAGTTTGTGAGTTCAAGGCCAGCCTGGTCTACAAAGTGAGTCCAGGGCAGCCAGGGCTACAGAGAAACCCTGTCTAGAAAAACAAAAACAAAAGAACAAAACAAAGCAAACAAAAAAACTTCTTAGTCCTGTTCCCCTTTTGAACCCAGTGTTGGATATGCCCAGGGCTTCATTTACATTACAGGCCAGCCCAGTTGCTTTATACTGGGTTTCCCTTAGAGTTCTGAAAACCCAGCTGCTCTTATAGTTAGCCTTTTGTAAGTTTCCATAAGCACCCATCGGTGATGACAGGCTTTATTAACAGTGTGTATGTTTTCTGTATCCGTGAATCCGTAGGTACTATGTTCTGACTCAGGTGCTTAGCTGTTCTTGTCCTTCAGGTTGACTGTCTGAATCCTGCTAACCACCAGAGGCTGTGTGTGCTCTTCAGCAGCTCATCTGCCCAGTCCAGCAACGCTCCCAGTGCCTGTGTCAGTCCTTGGTAGGATGCTTCTCCCCTGCACTACTGCACCTAGCAGCGGAAATCCAACAATAAAAACTGCCTGCTTTTAGTTATGACACATTGATGGTCACATGATTGATAGAATATTTAAACATAAGAAGTAATTGTGAAATTTTTTGTTCATGGGTAAAAAGAGAAGAGAAATTTTTGCGTTGTAGAAGTTATAAAGTTGACCCACAAGAGTTGGTTTACAAAAGCCAAAAGCTACATTTTGATTATAGTATGTGCAATTTAGGCAAGTTTTCTTTTTGCATAATTTTCATAAAAACAGTCAGCCTTTTGTCTTACTGTGTGTAGTTTTGTCACTAAAATATTCTACCAGAAAAGTCTTTTGTCTCATAGTACATTCTTCTTGCAAATGTTTAAGTAAATGAGACAAACACATTTTCTAATGTCATACTATTTCTAGTGATAGTCACAAAAACCTTACATATCTGTCCTAGTTTTTTGTTGTTGTGTTAAAAAATTTTTCTGCCAAAAGCAACCTAAAGGCGAAAGGATTCATTTGGCTCATAGTTCAAGGATGTTGGCCATCATGGCGGGAAAGTTGGAGGTGCTGGAGCTTGATCATCTTTTAAGTCAGCATTCAGAAGAGAGTGTAGAATGCATGGATGCTAGTGCTCCCCTTCTCATGTTACATCTGTTTTTTTGTTGTTGTTTTGTGCAGCACTGCTTCCATGATAAAACATTTACTTCCAGTAGAAAGATTTTTCTAGAAATTTGTGTAATTCAAGGACAGCGTTGAGCCTGACTTTCTGAAAGTCTATAGGACTTTTTTTTTTTTTTTTTCTCAGAATTTAATGGATTTCTTAAGTAATACTTGAATAGGATACAGGGTTCAACAAGCATACATACAAAGTCTCTTTGGACAGGTATAAGTCAGGTACAGTTAGGAATTAGCTTCTTATCAAGAGTGAGAGCTGTTCTCCCTACTCAATGAAGATAGGGATTAGAGGGCAGAAGGGAGTAGGTTTTTTTTTTCCTCTCAGTGTCAGTGGAGATTGTAACTGAAAGACAATTTTAACTCTTTCTAATGCAAATCAATTTTATTCAATTTATGAATTCTTATTAAATGATTTCTTAAGATACTAGTGGATTGGGAGTGTAAAATAAGCTATAGTGTCACCAGTCTACACTGGTTTGACAGGATGAAGTAAAACCTGTTCCATAGCAACAGCATATGTTTTTATTACTTCATTTTAAGCATATTTGATTATTAGAATATGGCCTTGGTGGTAATGATGACATATTTGTAAGAAATGTTTTTTTTTTTTTCTTTTTAGGATTGTAACAATGGAATTTTATGGAAAGAATGATCTTACACTGGGAATATTTTTAGAGAGATACTGTTTTAGGTAAAAGCTGATTTCTTATGATTTATTATGCTTTCCTTTTTTTTTTTTTTTTCTCCTTTTGCGGCAAAGTCTTTCTCTCTGTAACCCTGGCTGGCCTGGAACTCACAGAAGTCTGCCTCCTGAGTTCTGGGATTGATTATTATGCAGTTTTGAAGTCCAGAATTTCAAGGTAAACATGTTTGAGTTGAATATCAAGTATTGTTGATGATTCTCTCTCTCTCTCTCTCTCTCCTTTTTTGTTTGTTTGTTTGTTTGTTTGAGACAATGTTCTCTGTGTAGCCTTGGCTGTCCTGGACTTGGTTTTGTAGATCAGACTGGCCTCAAACTCAAAGAGATCTACCTTCCTTTGCCTCCCTAGGATTAAAGGCCTGCGCTGCCATGTCCGGTGATGGTTCTCATTTTTACACCATGTGTCAGAGTATATATTACAATGACATAATCTGCTTCATACTTAAGTAGTAGCACTTGTCACATATATTTCTTGTGTCCTTGTCCGGTCATTGTGACATCCCAATGGGTATGTTTATTTTTACAGTGATTCAAGTACAGGAAAACCTTGGTACCAGCTTGACATCAGTTTAAGTTTCATTGCTGTTACCAATTAAGTTACACAGCACAGCACGAGTGATGTTAAGTCCAAAATCACTACACAGAGACTTCAGTTGGCAAGAGTGTTTTATTTCACAAAAACCTGCACTCGGGGTCAAACCATTTTGCAAAATGGCACCCCTAGGCAAAGGCTCATTGACCTTTTTATAGGAAACGAGGGGAATTCTATCAAGGGCTAGTTAATCTAACCTCATTGGTGGGTACCGCAGAAGTTGCAAGGGTCGATTCCTAATTGGCTTGTGTCCAGGTGTTCAGTGGACTGTATTCCTGTTCCATGAATGTTTGACCACAGGATGAAATAAGACTGCCCAGCACAGATAACCCTATCCTGGGATAAAATATTTTCCCATTCTTGTGGTTATCTCTAGGCTGTTCCTTGGGTAGGGAATTTTATGATCTTGTTCCTGGAATTGGTGACCTATGGCCTAGTTCCTAGGACTGATGACTTTTGAAGTCAGCCCTGGTTCTAAAAAGGAGACGAAATGGAGTTTATGTCATCCTCTCAATTTAATGTTACCAGTCTCCTTCACAGGGAGTGTAGTCTTTAGAGAAGTCTGGGTTTTACTGTTGTTTGAAATTAGACATTGGAAGGTGTTTGACAAGTGGGCACTGTCCCCATGCTTCAGTGTAACACAGCTCAGAGCAGCATGTGTCCTGTTCAGATTGTCCACTGCTTGTCATTATTCCAGAGATACCGCTGCACTGCCTTGGTGGAAGCTCTGATTATTCAGTACTTGCCGTGTGTGGTCCTATTTCATGCTTATTGTGAAAAGGATCCTCTCATTTATCTCAGGTCATCTTACCAATGTCCTAGCATGTTCTGTGATACTCCCATGGTGCATCACATTCGACGCTTTGTTCATGGCCAAGGCTGTGTGCAGATAATCCTGAAGGAGTTGGATTCGCCAGTGCCTGGATATCAACATACAATTCTAACATATTCCTGGTGCAGAATCTGCAAACAAGTATGTGCTACTACTGAAATATTCATGTGACATTTCTTTATATTTGTATAGTTCCCTGGGGGATATATAGTCAATAGTATTTTAAACTTTATTTGTTATTGTGATCTTATTTATATATCTCTATATAAATAAGATATATGTTTAACCTAATAATTTTTAAAGCTTCACTTAAGAAATATATGCATCATTAAATAAAATATGTATGCTTTGTCCAGTAAAATATACTGCAATTATATTTTGATAATTTTCAGTTATGTATGTTAATTCAGCAGAGACTTAATTCTGTCTCTTCTAGATACTAATTTTCACCTTAATAATAGAAATACAATAAGAAATGGCTTGTATAGGAGGAAATAGACTTATAAAGCAGTATTAGGCTGTTTACCTAATAAATTTAAGCCTGTATCATCAACTTGTTCTGAAAAAAGTATAGATGAGGCTTTGTTGAAAATAGTCTGTATTGGTTATTATGTCTTGAGAAATGACATAGACATGTATTTAATTCCTTTGAGCTATCTCTTCTTCCTCTGAGGGAATTATTTGATGTTGGTATTGTGATTTTTTTTTATTTGTGTTTTATTAAGTGGGTTTAACCCATCTTTGGAGAAGTGGCATAGTTTAGGTTTATGATTATTTATTTAATTTTGTGTGTATATGTGTGTGGCCAACTGTAGGTGCTCTGTGTGTACAAGTATCTGAGTACGCTAAATGAGGGCTTCAGATGTGCTGGAACTGGAGTGACAGGTGATTGTTAGCCACCTGATGCTAGGATTGAACCTGGGTTCCTCTGCAGCAGCTGCAAGTGTTCTTAACTGCTGAGCTATTTCTCCAGCCCCAATATTACGTTTTTTTTTCCTTTGTGTGTATATGTGTTTAAATTTGGTTTTATATATATATATATATATATATATATATATATATATATATATATAT